CCCAGAGAGCCTAGCTTCTTCCCCTACTCAACTCCATTTCCCATTCCGACAGTGAGAAATCTGGCTCCTGTTATCACCATCCACTCATTTCGTTATTCACGTCTAGTCCATATGTATAGCAGTATTGAATTTCTAACCTATAATGCTATAGAAAATAATTCTATCAACTGGAGTACTGTACTATGCACCATTCTGTTGCCCCCAGCTTTAGTAAAGTTCAAAGTTCCTGAGATCAGACCTTTCCCCATCCAATTGTTTCATACATTTCTATGCAGGTGGGTTCCCTAGTCACAGTCTGCATGCCTTCCTTGGGCCTCCAACTTCCTAAATGGCTTCTAAATTTCAAATCTATTGAGGGTGACTTTATGCTCTAAAGTTCTATGAGTTTTAACAAGTAACTAGTCATGCATCAACACTACAGTATTACACAGAATAGCTTCACAGCTGCTCCCTGTCCCCTGAGATTCACCTATTCATGCTTCCTTTCACTCCTCCCCATGTCAAAATCCCTGTAGCCCCTGATAGACGTCTTCTAAAAACATTTAAACCCAGGTTCACAGGAACAGAAACTGAAAGCAACCAGAATGTCCATAGATAGTTGGATGGGTAAATAAATTGGGGCATATTCAAATAATGAAATGGTACACAGGTGTGACCATGACTCAATCCCAACCATAGGCAACATGGATACATCTTAGAAAAGTAATATTAAGGGGGAAAGTTTGTTCAAACTCAAGTTGAACTAAACAAGTATTAAAACTATATTGAAAAATTACAGAAAGAGGAAGACATCCTTTGGAGTGGTTACTCTGGTCAGGAGCCCTAGTGGTTCAGACCTAAGGTGCCTGCCTGCTAACCACAAGGTCAGTGGTTTGACCTTCATGCCCCTTCATGAGAAGAGAATAGCAAAGTCAGCTTCCAGAAATGTTACAATCTCCGACACCCTGTGGGGCAATCTACTGGGTCTTCCAGGGCAGCTATGAGTTGGAATTGACTCTATGCCAAAAGGGTTGAATTTTTGATTGTTTGGGTCATAGATGGGGGAGTGGGATGGGGAAGAAATGAAGGCCAGACTCACTGCCATGGAGTTGATTCTGACTCATGGTGACCCTACAGAGCAAAGCAAACTGCCCCTGTGGGCTGCTGAGACTGTAACTCTTCCCATGAGCAGAAAATCTCATCTTTCTCCTATAGAACAGCTGGTGGTTTCAAAGTGCTGACCTTGCAGTATGCAAACCCATGTGTACCCACTATGCCACCAAGGTGTCTATGCAATTGACATACCCTATATACTTGAGTATAAGCTGACCCGAATATAAGCTGGGGCACCTAATTTCACCACAAAAACAGGGGAAACTTATTGACTCAAGTATAAGCCCAGGGTGGGAAATGCAGCAGTTACTGGTAAATTTCAAAATAAAAATAGATACCAATAAAATTACATTAATTGAGGCATCAGTAGGTTAAATGTTTTTGAATATTTATTTCAAAGAAAAACAGTGAACTAGCTCTGAAATTGGAAAAGAGGGTCAACAAAAATAATATGGTCTCAACAATAACTTTAAAAGTACAAAAACCTTAGCTCAATCAGCAACCAAGCAAAAATACAAGAGTTAAAGTCCTTCAAAACTGGATTCCTCCTCCTCATCTGTCTGTCTAAACGGAGCTTCAGCTTTAGCTGGGGTGAGGTGATCAGCATAGACACTGTCTCATCACTGAGTTCACAGTCTTCACCATCACTGCTGTCCTTCTCATACAAAGCGCTGTCTTCACTGCCTTTCACAGCATTACTGAGGCCGCGTTTCTTGAAGGCGCGTTGCACCATGTCCTCTGGAATCCCTTCCGATGCATCACGAACCCACTCTGCTATCAAGTCTATGTCGGGCTTCATCAGGTTTCCAACTTTTGCCAGTCGGGCTTGACCAGATGACAGCCATTCATGCCACATACATCTTCCACACACGGTCTTTGAAAGTTTATTTAAACACACAGCTAGGGGCTGCAATACAGATGTAAGGCCACATGGAATTACGGCCAAAGTAACTTGAGAAAACGTTGCCAATTTTTTATGTCATCAGAGGGGGGGGCTCTGAACATATCCCAAAGTAGCAATGATAATTTTTTTCTTTAAGGCTGCTCCTGGTCATCCCTTCCAAATTTCTGCCAGCCATTTTTTTATCCCGTCTTCATCCATCCAGCCTTTAACATGTTCGCACACTGTAATTCGTGGTGGGAATTGGACCTTCTTAGGCTAGGCCCTTTCTTTTAAAACGAATGACAGGTCGCAGCTTAGTTGCATTAGCCAAACATGACAACACAACTGTGATTTTTTTTTCATTTCCTGTGGTTTTGAGTAAAATAGTTTTGTCTCCCAATCTTTCCAAAGTTCTGTTGCTTGGAACAGAAATAGGTGTTTCATCTGTATTCCCAATATCTCCCAGGTCATAGTTATGGAGCCTTCTTTGTTTTATGATCAATGAATGGAATGACATCACTTTTTCATCAAGGTTGTGTTAGTCTGGGTACTTAGGAGAAACAAATCCACAGCAACTCCTGTATAAGAGAGAGTTTTATGTAAAGAAAATGTGCATCACGAAAATATCCCAATCCAATGCTGCCCAAGCCCACAAGTCCAACATTAACCCATTAACCCAACACCAGTCCACAAAGTCCTCCACCTCACAAAACAGAGGTGATGAAGCCGACTGCAGGAGGAAAGCTCAGTCAGTGAACGAACAAGCATCTCTCCACTAGCAGGGGTCTCCACACGGCTGCTCCAGCACCCAGGGCTGCATCAGGATAGGTCCATGTAGCTTCTCCTTGGGGATGTCTTGTAGGAGTCTTGCAAGCTGAAGCAGGGAACTGCTAAGGCAGCTGCACTCTGGTGTGACCATCACAAAGCTAGAGACCCAAGAACTAGAAAGGCGAGGCTCACCACCCATTTATCCCTCCGCCTTTCAATTAGCCCCACATGTGATTATCGGCCAGGCTGGCACAATTAACTAACTCAAAGGTCATGGGTGTTTCATCCATATTCCCAATATCTCCCAGGTCATAGTTATGGGTCCTTCTTTGTTTTATGATGAATGAATGGAATGACATCACTTTTTCTTCAAGGTCTTTTGACAACTTCTGTGAAATCTTTGTTCTTTGCTGCAAATGTAGGACAAACCGATTCATGAAGCAGGTACTTTTAATGTGTTGTCTTTAGCCACTTGAAGAGCACATAAGCGAATTCCCATGCGTGTTACGCAGTAACCATTTTGACGACGCTCCATAACCCATTTATGCAATTCAGTCTCTAGAGCCCCATATGAAGTCATTGAACCACGTCGAGCTTTTTTGGCCTTTGGAATCTTTTCCAAGTCAGCTTTCATTTTCCATGACTCCCTCACTTGTTTTACATCAACACAAGATTCTCTACTTGTAATACTGTTTATTGCCTTCTTCTGCTCTTGACACACCTTAAGTTTGAAACCAACTTTGTATGACCTGAGTTTTTGTTTTGGTCCAGGATTAAAAGTATTGGGATCCATTTCTAACAAGATTTTTTTAAAAGACTTTTAAAAAGAATGCCATACCATAGCAATTGAATTCTCAAAGTATGCCGTAAGCCCTACTCCAAAAATAACCCCTTATAAGAGGTCAATTTACAGTAAAAACGGTGGTCTCAAGGCAACTAGTGGTATACATATAATCAAGTAAAATCAATTGGCAATAAAATGCAGCAAGACGGATAGACTTCACCATGGAAAACAGAGCCCCCCCCCCAAAATAATCGCACTCAAAAGACACCATGAGACCCAAAACATGCAGGATCCCCAAGGGAGCTGACAGTAATTCAGGGTTTGGAGAGTTTGATATGATAATATTCCAGAATGTGATGACATGACTATGTCTGCATACAGCAGCCGGTGCTAGGGTTCATACTATACACGCTGTGTTACTACATGCGCTTCATTACTACATACGCTGCCTTACTGCATGTACACAACGCAGCTTGTATAGTTTGAGGCCTAACACAGGCTGATGATATTCCAGAATGTGATGACATGCCTGTTTGCATAGAGCGGCCTGTGTTAGGGCTCATAATATACCCGGTGCGTTGTGTACGCACTGTGTTACTGCATGCACTGCGTTACTGCATAGGCAGCGTTACTGCATGTGTATGGGAAGTGCTAACGCAACACATGCAGTAACACAGTGCGTACACAACACAGTGTGTATATTATGAGCCCCTGTAGCGTCCCGGCCTGCGGGACACACGAGCAGGGCCCTGCAGGGAAAGACGAACCTGGATGGGAGAAAAGACACGGAGACGTGGAGCAAGACAAAACGCTGATCAAACTCATTTATTTGGGCAAAGCTGGGGTATAAAAAAGGGGAACTGGGAGGTGCATATTTTAATAAGGTGTGCGACACAACATCCAATCCAACATGTATATTAATGAAGCATAAGAACGTTAACCAATCAGCTGCAGGTAAAAGGGCGCGCGCTAGTTCTCAAAGACGTCCTGCATGCAGACTAAGGTTCATTAGGCGTAATGCAAAGTCCATCTTAGTCCAATGAGCGCTCGGCATTATTAACCAATGGGTGAAAAGGTCAAATTTAAAACCGACCGTGCTACAGAGCAAGTAGCTAGGAACGCGTAGGCAGGAATTTAGGCAGGGCCAGTCCCCCACAGGTTTAGCAAAAGAAAGGCGAAACTTAACAACCAGGAAGCAGCCAAGTTCAGCTATGTGGCTGAGGCTAAGGCCTTAATGGCCACCGGCTCCCAACAAGCCCCAACACAGGCTGCTCTATGCAAGCACAGTCAACACTGGGTCCAGATAGGGGTTAATAAGGAAATAAAAAATAAAATATAGCAGACTAAGAAAGGTACTGTAAATAAACGTACTGTATATCCCAAACCAGAGATATACCGGTACTTGTATTCAGCAATGCTTGAGCTAAGCAAGGGGGCGTGACCAAGCACGGGTAAGACTGTCAAGGCTACGCCATGGGTCACAGCTCTGGAGAAGAGCAGGAGAAGAAGAGCTGCCGCATCCGACATTCACCTGTCAAGGATGCGGTGCGCCCCAGGTACAGCACACAGAAGCGGGCAGGCTCTTGCCCAGCACGGACCGCACAGGCTGCCGGCGCGCAGGGGAAAGGAAGAGCGGTGCTATCAGCAGTCATCGGACCACCCACAGAGGCTGCGGGGGCCCGCAGAGGAGCGGGAGAGGCTGGAGAACAGCGCACTGCACCTGAGAACAGGTGAGGGGGACCCTCACTCGAGTATGAGCCAAGGGGGGCTTTTACAGCATAAAAATGTGCTAAAAAAAACCCTGGCTTATACATGAGTCTATTCGGGTAATAATGCCTAATTCATGATACTGTTGTGAGGATTAAATAAGACAATATATATATAAAATATAAATGACAAGAAATATGCTTGTGTTATCAGCTCCTCAGAAATCAGCCATGCTTTGGCCACCTCAGCGCCGTGTGGGAATCCCTCTCTGAATCTTGAAGTAGGCCCGAGGAAACCTTTCTTGTCGATCACCCTGAGGCTCACAGACTTGGAGAGTCGGAAGCAAGTGTAGAGGTCATTTGCTATCACCCTCTGTTTGACATGTGAGGTGATGGCCCCCAAACGACCCAACCTTTGCGAAGTCGCTAGGGTTCCATTCTCATCTCCCACCGGCAGGCCGGAGCTATTTTCTCTGCCAAGAAGTACACCTGCCAGCTGTGGCAGAGGTCAAAGGAGGAAGAGAAGAACTCCATAGGAACGAGTAAGGTGGTACAGGTTCACAAAAGACACGTGCTCAGAGCTTAGGATTTCCCGGGGACTGGCCCACTTGGGGTGTCAACAAGGTCTTGTTGAGGGCACTTTTGCGCCGCCCATGGCACGTGTAGTACCACCAGGAGCCACACGATGTCGCCAGAAGCCAGTATTTGGAGATTACTCAATAAGCTCCTAGCTGTTGGCTGTACCCTTAGATTCTGCTCCATGGAAAGGAAACGTTACCGAAGTTCTTAACTGCCCTCGGACATGCACGCGCTAGCAGGATAAAAAAGCCAGTGAGCAAATCCTTTCAATATTTTTAGAAGGAAAAGTGTTACCTGCACTGGTGCTGTCCGTTGGAAGGAATCATGTGAGCCATGAATGCAAGTGGAATATGTCGTTTTAAATTTTCTAGAAGCAAAATTAAAGGAAAACAACAACAAAAATTACATTAATTTTATTATATTTTATTCGACCCAGTATCTTCGAATTATATCATTATGTAGTCGATATACAATTATGTATTGATTATTTTACATTGTGTGTGTGTACTGTTTTTGTTTGTTTGTTTGTTTTACTCTCCGATGTGTTTTACACTTACAGGGGTAAGTTAAAATAAAGTATTGGTTCTGGGGGTTCATTCAGACGTGTGTAGGTTTATTTCAAAAAAACATGCTTCAACATCTCTCCCATCGGTGGATGACTACAGACGAGGTCTCCCGGTAATACACTTGTGTCTGTCCCATTGTTGCTGGCAAGTAGTGATCCTGGGTGTGCAATCGAGCAACACGCTGCCTGGTCCTGCATCATCCTCACAATCCTCGTTCGGTTTCAGCTTCCACAAACAGTCGACAGTGTGGAAGCATCTAAACAGCCGGCGGGATGGCTTCTCCGTATGCTGGTGCTCCAGGAAAGAGGACCACAAGCCCCATTTCCTGAACATCCTGCTCAGAGGAAGCGTGATTTTAACAGGACAAATTAACCAATGCCGTTAAACAAGAAGTGTGGGTACCCACAACCCGGAAAGCACATTGGCCAACAAGGAACTACAGATGCCAAATAAAGGCTGTGAATTGCCTGAGTGTGCCAGTGGAGAGGAGCGTCAAAAAAAGCCAGCCAGCGTGAACTTGCTGGTGACATACCACAGCCGCCTGCCCTTTTTGAAGTGGTCCTACCTATCCCATCCCCACCCTCCCCTGAGTTCTCTCACTACAAGCCTCGAACTTGTCCCCTCTCCTTCTCAACTTCACCTCAGCCTCCCTGGTCACCAGCCAAAACTGACCATGAGTTGCCTACGACAAGTGGACTTTGGCTCATGGAGACTCCTGGATGTCAGAGTAGCACTGCTCTATCAGGTTTTCTTTCTTTCTTTTTTTTCCCAACAAGACAGACTTTATTAGAATTTCAATCAAAGCAATTAATACTTATGTCAAAAGTGATAAATCACCTAATACTCAACAACACTTAATTTGATTTTTTTAATCATTTTATTAGGGGCTCATACAATTCTTATCACAACCCATACATACATCAATTGTGTAAAGCACATCTGTACGTTCATTGCCCTCATCCTTCTCAAAACGTTTGCTCTCCACTTAAGCCCCTGGCACCAGGTCCTCATTTTCAATGGCTGCCTATTGAGAAGTAACTAGGCAGGCTTTTCTTCAGAGGCTCTTCTGGGTAGATTTGAACCGCCATCCTGCCGGTTAGTAGACCCTTTAGCTTCTCTCCCTATAACGTGGAATCTGGATCACTTTCCTTCTCCTTGACCCCACCTCACACTCCTGGATCACCAACCAAAGGTAACTAAAATGCAATTATTATTATCATTATTATTATTTCCATGAGATCCCTGAGGGAGGAAATATGTCCTGCTTAACAATATCTTCCTGGGAAACAAAAAGGCTGACTCTGCAGCTGTTGCTAAAATTGTATCTGCAACCTCGTGCATCTCACTCTTAACTGATTTAAACACGGGGTCTTCGCGATGCCACAAGAGCCCAGGGCAGAGCAGAGTCGAATAAAACAAAGCAGAACCTCATAAACTTGTTAGAGGTCCTGGATGTATAAGATTCTCCACTTTCCCCCAAAGTTTCCCAAATAGCAACGGCTCCACCCAGAAAATAAGCCAGCAGTGCTGAGGGGACATGACGGCATACTGTCCCAGAGTGTTCAGTACCTTGCTGTACAATCTACAGTGGGAACGACTGCACCCTTGTGGGGTAGTTGGGATGTCACAGGAAGACTATTGTAGGACTTGTCATCCCCTAGGGCACATCTGGAGACAGACGTGTGCATTTGGCTCCTTGTCAAAAGCAGCAGCTCCTGGGTCGAGGTGCATAGATGGCACTGACGGATAGAGAAACCAGCCTCTGTCCCACTCACACATGCTGAGACCTTGCATGCAGCACACATGGTTCTGTGCCTCGGTTTCCCCCCAGGAAAAGAGATGAGGAGGCTGGGCACACGGGCTCGCACAGTTCTCATTAGAAAACAGAAACAAAGAGCAAAGCGTATATTTGGATCGGTAAGAGTGAAATGCCAAATTCCAAATTCTTTTCCTTTATGAATACGTGTGTGTAAGAACTCTTACAAAGCACAACCTCCTACACTCAGCATTGCCACCACTGACAGCATTCTCACCTGATGAAGGGCCTGCATCGATCTCTGGTCTTTTCTCTCCTTTGCAGAGGTTGGAAATGAACCTGTTTGCCACCGAGGACTCCAAGGCCGGTTAAGTTCTGTCTAACTGTTCCTCCTCTTTTCTTTGCAGCCACTCAAACCAAGACTTAAAAGCTTTATACAGCTGGACGTGAGTTATTTCCTAGTTGATGATGCTTAACCTAAATGAAATAAAGCACTTGGTGTTTAAAGCCTGAAGTAGACAAAAAATATGTCTTTTGGGTGAAAAACAACAACCGTCTACTAAACACTTCACATCAGGAGGGGGCATGCTGTCACAATGCCGTCAAAACAGATCCTTGGGCCAAATTGGAGACGACACAAAAGAGGCTGCTGGAGAACCCCAAATTTGTCATTTTTCTCTAAGTCACTAAGGGATGAAGTTAGGGAAAGGTCAATGGTGAGGAGGGTCATAAATGCATCTAGGTGTCTATAAAACCCTAACAGGCCTGGCAACTTCTGGGGTGGAAATTCCCCCGAAACCTCCATCATGAGTCACTGTGATTGCTGCCCTCCGAGCGTCCCTTGGTTTCCATAGAAGCCAGTGTGCCCAGTCCAGCCAGAGCAGGGAAGCATCTTGTTGAGGGGGGCGGCTAGAGGAGTTGGGTGGGTGGTTGAAAATTGCCTTAAAAGGAAACCATCCTTCCTGGGGAAGGCCTGGTGGTTTCACCAAACCAGAAGACAGACACATGATGAGAAAACCCATGAATCGCTTGCTCTTCCTTAACAAAGACCCAGAGAAAAAACGAGAGAGGGCTATGCTGATCCTTCAAGCTGCTTAGGAGAACCTCTCACTCCCTACTCTTGGACTATGATGGGGTCCCCCGTACAAAAGCTCCACAGTAATCTCCTAACAGAGCCATGGAGAACCGAAGTCCTGAGCCTTCAAAGGTCAGACTGCAACCACTGGACAGGTCACAGAGCTTGTCAAAGGCTCTGAGGAATCCCAGAGCCGATCCATACTGCCAGGCGACCATTGCAGGCTTGACCCTGGATCTGAGAGACTGGCCTCAGATAGACACAGACTGCCATGTCTTAGCCGTCTCCCCAGGCATGCCTCCCCTCTCTGAAAGCAGTCCTCTCTTGGAAACCTCTAGTGACAGGGAGCCCACTCCTTGCCATTTAGGTCTTCCTTTCGGCTCAGGACTAAAATGCAAGAGTTTATTTCCAAAACTCCCCACAGCGAAGGGGTCCCCACAGCCTTTTCTGCTCAGCCCCACAATCTAATCATTGCATCTCTGCACGGCACAGCAGGAAGAGGTGGGGCGAATGGACGAAGAGGGCCTACCATCCCATGCCCTGGCAGAACGAAACAAGCCCTGAACCCTCTGGCTAATCATCAACTCCAAAGTGGCCTTCTCAGGCAGTTGCAAACAGGACAGCTACAGAAAGGGGGGAAGCATCCCGGAGCCCAGACCAGACCTGGGTCACAGTTGCCATGATCCAGCAACCAGTGCCAGGTAAATGGAAGCCCACTGGCCCTGTTGCTTTCTGTGCCCTGGCCCCTCCAGTGTCACACAGACCACCTGCAGCGCTTCATCTCAGTGCGGGGCGGTGGGGCAGGTGGGAAGATCCCCACATTACAGGCGCTACACCTGAGCTGCAGTGCGTCATTGGGAGCCTGAGACAGTACGGCAGAAAGGGTGGGTGTTCCCCGGTCCTCTTAGTCAGCCACTGCATTGGGGCTGTCTGGGGATGTGCTTCCTGGTACATAATTACCACTATCGAGATTATTGTTAGCATTAGGCTTTTACGGGACATTTAATGTTCTCAAAGCATTGTGCTGCCATTTAATTAGTTCTTCCGT